CCCCAAAACCCCAAAACCCCAAAACCCCAGGATGCTAAATTATAAGGCAAAAGGGTTAAAATTTAAGAAATTAAATTCAATATCAGTCAATTATTAATGTCAAGTTAAATCATTCATTTAAAGCTACATCCTGAAAGAAATCACTCATTATTAGTTCGCCCCTTTATGAAATATATCTCCTATATTGCTTATGTTGTTCAGGAATAACTAGAAACTTGATTGCTATAATGAAGTATTTGATCTAAGCAAAACATTTTGATGCTACTTGTTAGTTTCTTAAAAACTCTAAAATAAGCTTTGCTGCTATTACTTTGGTTTCAATTAGCTTTAGGTTAATTATTGATGTCTATCATTTAAACTAGCTTCATTTTTCTCATTTCTATGAATTACTATTGGTATGTTGTAAGAAGACTTTGAATTGGTTTATTGGTCATGATCATTACGATCATTATAGTTCAAATGATGAGCATTACTTGCTCTTTTGGATAATTTCTACTCAAATAGATTTCTTCTACTGCGACTGTCAGACTATTTCTTAATGTAATGAGTCTAAGGATCTTGCAAAATAATAGGCTTTTGAAAGTTATTTGGAAATTAAGACTGACTTTAGCTTTATAATACAGATTAGTTCTTCATAATATCATAGTGACTTTGAATGATATCTGCACTTCTGTCTCTATTATTAATATATTGTTTGCTAGCGCTTTAATTGTTAACATATTAGGAGGCTTATCTATTAACACCAAAAAGTTGTTTGATGGTCTAATCTATCTTTTTAATTTGCATATTCCTCTAGACCGAAATCCCAGTATTTATATTTCCTTGTTTAGCATTATTCTCATTATTTTTTACTTTAATTTCTGGAACTACCAAAGGCCTTGCTGTAAAGTCCATATCAGTGTAAAGATCTGGCTACGAACTTAAGACTGAACGATTATTGAGGTTATTTCTGCTGCTACTTTCGTTTAAAAGATGAGATTTGATATAAAATTCCTGATCCTCATCATCTTCAAATTAATGTTTTTATTCTTCGAATTCATCCTCATTAACATTTATCTGGGTATTCTAATAATCAATCCAATCCTTATCATTGCTATAATTATCTGAATCTTAGAATAAATTTGATTAAAGTTTTTATATACAATCCTATGTAGGAATTATAGGCCCACCTCCATAAAGAAGATTAAGAAAATCCCATTAATAGTGATTAATAATTTCTGAAAGAGATTTCTTAACTGAATTCTTATTTTTCTCGTTTTACTGTTAAGGCTCTTAATTAGAGTTTAATAAAGGTAAGTTATCAATATAACTAGGAGGGACTTATTCATCAGAGCTTACAAAAACTTGCCACTTGTTCATCCAGGACTTACATATCATAATGTCCTAGTCGCTTTTAAGCTAACCTAATTCATCAAACATTTCCCGTTAATAAAACTTCATAAAATCAATTGCATTAGAAAGAGCTTCACTCTTTTCAATAAGAATATCTCCTAATTAGTTTGTGTAGAAATCTCTAAGTTATTTGCAATCCTGACATAAAAGTACTTTGAATTATTCTTAGCTATTAACAGAGGAGCATTTAATGCAGGTCCATTTTATTTCAGTCTCAATCTCTCCATTTATGTAGTCGATATTATCTATCCTTAAGTCGATGGATTCTTCTTTTTCCTCCCTACTTGCATTCAGGTTGTTTATAATTTTCTTGGAGTTGAAGTTACTTAAGTCTTTCTATTGAAATTCAATGCTATTTTCATCTAATAGGATTCGTGAAATGCTATTTTCTAGTACTTGTTGGTCTTTTAACTCCAAAAAGAATGTAGATAATAGTTCAGGATGCAGTTTAAAGCCCTGGATATTGTTGACCCATTCTTAGAGATCATCGAACAACTCAAAATCCTAAAATCTAATAGCACCTCCATCTAACTAGATTTCCCTTTCTTTCAATATTTCCAGTTAATTATTTATTATTGTTTTTGAGTCACTTATTCTTTCAATCACATCTAGTTTTTTGTCAATTGCCTAAGTCCAGACTTCCTCTAGCTTGTTTTCCAGCATTTCCTTGTAAATTTTTAATGCTTTTTTAATATTTTTCAAATGACTGTTTAATTGCTTTTTAAGTCTTGCTTTACCCTGTTCACTATATATTATATTAGAAAAAAAATGATGAATTATACATGTATTCTGGAATGTTTTCAATCACCTTTTTTGTAATAGTGTCACACTTGAGTGAGTGAGAGTAGAATTTTCTCAAATTAGAGCTGAATTCATGAATAACTTAAGGCAAGATTTTCAAATTACTCTTTTTCTATGCTGCAACGTCACATTTATTGCAGTATAATCTCAACTTCTTATTGTGATCGAACTCATAATAAATGCGAGCTTGGTTATGCTACGGACATACCTTTTTAGAGTCTTTAACATGAATGAATACCTTTGCATTCTCAGAATTGTTGGAATTATAGTTGATATTATTATTCTCATTATTCTGATAAACTTATTCATCATTATAGGGTGAAAATTGCTGATGTGACTGCTATTTGCTTAGTTCTTCAAATCTTGAGTTATTTTGAAGATAGTTGGGGACTCTTTCACTTTGATTTGCTCTACTTTAATTGCCATAAAGATTTCCCAAGCCACTATCTCTAGGTTCATTTCATGAGGTAATATTCCTAACGCAGTTTTGCATCTACTGATCAAGGATACTGAGAAGTGTATAGTTCTTAGCGATCTTAATTTTCGCATCATTTATTGATGAGAATTGATAATCTTGAAGACAGAATGGGCATTGTATGTTCAATTAGTGATGATTAAGCATTTTGAATAAGCATTCTTCACATATACTATGACCACAATTTAGCATTCTATTAATTTTAGATAGTAAATAAGGGCGAATACCTGGGTATATTAAGGTTTTGGTTCCAAATCTGGAGACATACTGGACATTCCATTTCTCGAAAATTGAAATAAGTTATTTCTATTTATGAGATTATTTTATTTGATTAAAAACCCCCTGATATTGAATAAAACTAATTATGAATTAATACTGCTGGGGTTTTGGGGTTTTGGGGTTTTGGGG